GGACAATTTCGTATCCGATATCTTCTCTTTTTCCTGCTCCCTAATACCATTAATATTGTTCAAATTGTCATTATAGCTTCTCACTCCCATGCGTGCTGAAACGAGTAAGCAATTTCCCAATTTTGTAAAATAACGTTGAATTCTATTTACGTACAAAATGCCATCCATTTATTTATATTTCAACGATTTATACAGAAGTAGTGAACACACATTTATTTGTGATAACCTATAAAGATTTTTTTTGCTTGTCCAAGATAAATTCCTTTTTTTGTGTAGATCATTATTGTTACTCGTTCCCACAAAAAAATCTTAAAGTTTTAAGTCAAGAGTACTAGGCAGAGGTCAAAGACTCAAAGTCATAAAACATCTTACATAACTAATATCATGAGGGCATGATAGAAGAATGTTCTCATTTCAAATTTGATAACCGAGTGTCAAAATGGGGAAAAAATTGCATACGAAATCAAATGTTTGTATCAACTATTTCAATGAACATTTATGACTTTTTTAAAAACTAATAGCATTAATCTGAACGAAAAGCAAAACACTCGTTTATCAATTGATTTAATGTTCGTGTCACACGAACAAAAAAAAATGTTTGTATCACACATTTTTAGATAAAAGAACAAAATTTGAGAACAATCATATCATCAAGTATTTAGTATCGTTTCCAAACTCCATTCTTTTAGAATTTGTTATTGACATCGAGAACGAATGAAAATTGCAAATAATAGCGAAGATCTTTGGACGAAGTCCATGCGTCTTCTTGTCGAGGTTATGTCAAACTCCTCGCAAGCGGAAATCGAACTAAGTATCCAAGACCAAAATCTTTTAAATGGACAAACTAAAAGACAGATTAATTTGTCTGAGATTAAAAATGAAAATTGGGCGGTTAGAGTAATTTTTTTTAAAAACATTTTTTTTCTTTAACACTTACCTAAAAGACTAAAGCATATATGTATTGTTCGATCGGCTAAAGAACCTATTTCAAATATCACTATTTGATTTAAAAAATGGTGTGACCCTCATCATTAACTTCATAGTTGACTACTTGAAAACGTAACAGCTACTACTACAGAGATTATAATACTGATGTAGAAACAGAACACAACACAGGGGTTTTCTCAAAACACGTTTACTAGTATTGATGACTTGAATACTTACACGTATTGTTTTCACCCAATCCGAGTCTACCCTGTTCACGAATCACACTTGATATCGTGAACCTCTCTTTACCCCTTAGCCCTTGATACAAGATTTCCCTTTTTATTTGAAACCCTTATCCCTTTACTAAGAAATTGCTCTAGTTTGTGTTTACCCTTCCCTCGAGTTAACCCCAACCTATATATACTAAACGGCCTGCGGCTTGCCCTAGCCTTGGCCTCTACTCCATGCAAGATTCACTATTTCTTCAAATCTTCATGGGTAGATACAATTTCCTTATCTTCTCCTAAGAATAAGGAAACCTTCAAGTTTGAG